CGCCATGTCCGTCTGTCTGTCAGTCTGTCCGTCTGCCCGTCCGTCCGTGACCTCAAGTTTTCGTCGACGAGAAAATGCGCTCTCTGTAACTCACTGCAATAAGTACTGAATTATATTTTTTTAAAGTATAGCCCAGTCGGGCACTTACAACATTGTACATGGCGATGGTCCAGCGCTCGAACATGACTTGACCGGACCAGCCTGACATGAACGCCCACCACAACTCGATGACGTACAGACAAATATTCTTGTAAAAACTGTAGAGGATAACTTTACAGAGACGCGAGTAGTTCCACGCGCCGTGTACGAGCATCAGGCGCGCCAGGAACCTGAACTGCAAACAAATAAAATAATATTGGAAGGAGCAGCTTAGCTGAAAACGGCAAAACTTAGATGTTGATTGCAAGTAAGATCGAATAATGAGTGAGCAATGCAACCTCAGAAAGATCAAGAGCATGGTAATTATAAATGAGAATGCATGTTCAGTTGTTCTTTTGTAACATCAAAATTGACGGCAATTTTAACGAATACTCAGAAAGTAACACTATAATCAACCAGATCGCAGTCATTTTGTTAATTTCAAAGAATTATCAACAGATTATCAACACAGATACTTAATAATAACACTAAAAATATAATTTCATCATAAAAGATCTTTTCAAAATCCCCATTTTGCACGCATCCTCTAGGGCCTAGGCCCTCCAGACCTGTCCTATTGTATAGTCGGCAGCACACGCGGCCTGCAAGCCCATCAGTCATATTGTTGATTTCAAAGTATTCTGTACGACGCACAGGTTATCAACACAGATACTTAATAATAACACTAAAAATAAACTTTTTTCATATAAGATCTTTTCAAAAGCCACATGTTTGCACGCAACCTCTAGGCACTCCAGACCTGTCCTATGGTATAGTCGGCAGCGCACGCGGCCTGCAAGCCCTCCTGTCCCGCGATGCCCACGCCGACGTTGGCTTTCTGTATCATGGCTACGTCGTTAGCGCCGTCACCGATGGCCAGCGTCACGGCCTTGCAGCTCGAGTTGACCAGCTCCACGATCTGGTGACAGGGAACATGTCTGGTGACAGGGAACATGTCTGGTGACAGGGAACATGTCTGGTGACAGGGAACATGTCTGGTGACAGGGAACATGTCTGGTGACAGGGAACATGTCTGGTGACAGGGAACATGTCTGGTGACAGGGAACATGTCTGGTGACAGGGAACATGTCTGGTGACAGGGAACATGTCTGGTGACAGGGAACATGTCTGGTGACAGGGAACATGTCTGGTGACAGGGAACATGTCTGGT